CTCTCTCCCTTTCCTCTTCCTCCCCTCCCATCCCTCCCTCGCTCCACCTCGCCCCTATCCCCCTCCTCCACCCCTGTTTCTGATCGACAGCTCTTCCCTGTCGCAGCCCGAGGCGGGCGGGCTGGGCGTTTCGCCGGAGGGTTCCTCACAACTCATGTTCCTAACGCTGAGAAGTTGCAACAGCTTCACGTATCGAGGGCGGGTCGCGTTCAATTGTGACTCTCGCCTTCGCGCCGCGCGCATTCGTCTCAAAAAACGCGAGCTTCACAGATGGAGGGCGGTCGTCCACTTTCAACGTGTGGCTCTCGCGCGCGCATTCGCCTCAACAAATTGTACGGTGTTCACGGATGTTGGGTGGTTCCTTTTGAAACTGTGGCTCTCGCCTTAGCACCACGCACATTCGCTTTCAGAGTCTACCGCGGCTTCAATAATTCTCATGGCGAACGTCCCATAAATGCTGTTTTGGCACGATGTCGGACTGTCAGGGCGCAACAGTTACGATGATTCGCGGCGTTGAAGTCCCAGAAGTGGTGTTCTAGCACAGTTCAGGATTTCCAAACAGTTGTCTTCAATCGGGGCACTTCCTTCAGTAACAATAGATCCTTGCAGGGGACTCTGAAGAGGGAACTTGGAGAGAGGGTTGATTGCAAGATCGTTGATGAATCTTGCGTTTACACTCGTCGTCCTTCTCCTCCTCCTCCTCATCCCTTTCGCCCTCCACCTCATCTTCCTCCTCCTCCCCCTCCTCCTCACCATCCCCATCCCCATGCTCATCCTTATCCTCATCCGCATCATCCTCATCCTCCGTGTCTTCGTCGTTCTGCTCTTCCTCCCCCTCCTTATCCCGTTATCCTCTTCCTCACCATCATAAGCATACGCATAACCATCAGCAGCATCATCATCTGCCTCCTCCTCCAACTCCTCCTCCTCCTCCTCCTCCTCATCATCATCATCAACACCATCATCAGCTTGAGCATCAGCATCATCATCACCAGCACCATCAGCATCAACAGCATCGTCATCACCAGCATACGCATAATCAGCAGCATCATCGTCATCGCCGCCAGCATCATCATCCTCATCATAATCATGAAACACCATCATCATCATCATCATCAGCATCATCATCATCATCATCATCATCATCATCATCATCATCATCATCGTAGTAGTCGTCGTCGGCATCGTCAACTTCATCCTCATCGTCATCTGCATAATCATCTGGGTCACATGCAGCCATACTCATCGTCCTCCTTCTCATCATCATCAGCATCATCGTCATCATCGTCATCACCATCAACATCACTGCATCATTATTGACATCATCATCGTCAGCAGCATCATCGTCACCAAAATGATTATATCGAACTCCACCAGCATACCGATCATAACCATCACCATCACCACCACCATCATCATCATCATCATCATCAGCATCATCATCATCATCATCATCATCATCATCATCATCATCATCATCGTGATTATCATCATCATCTTCATCATCCTCGCTCTCGTTACCATCACAATCAACAACATAATCTTGTAAGGTTCGCTGCCCTGTGTTGTCTAGAAGTCTGCTAGCTCTCTAGAGAGTCCCCATATTACCTTCACGACCGTCATCATCGGCGTCCCTGTGACCGTCCGTGCATCGTGGGGTGCATTGTGGGATAGCTGTCGAGACGAGGGGATGGGCGCAGGGATGATACGGGGGACGACGGGGATGGGAGGACGCAAGGGGGGATGATTCTTGGGACGCCGCGCGGAGGCCACAACACTGGCAGCGAAGCTTAGAAACATAGTCATCACAATCATCATCATCAACAACATTGTCACCAACATCATCATCCTACAAGTAAGCATCATCATCGCCGGCATCATCAACATCATCACCCTTATCAGCATCAGTATCATCATCGTCGTCATCATCATAATCCGCATCATCAGCATCAGCATCAGCATCAGCATCAGCATCATCATCATCATCATCTCCATGGTCACCATCCGCATCCGCATCAGCATCATCGTAATCACCATCATCATCACACCATCATCACTATCATTAGCATCTTCATCATCAGCAGCAGCATCACCACAACTACGAATATAAGCGTCACCGTCGTACTGATCACAGCCATCACCATCACCATCATCGTCGCCATCATCATCATCATCATCATCATCATCATCATCATCATCACGACCATCCTCATCCGCATCTTCAGCATCATCATCATCATCATCATCATCATCATCATCATCATCATCATCGTCATCACCATCATCACCATCACCATCACCATCGTCATCACCATCACCATCATCATCATCATCACCATCATCATCGTCATCGTCATCACCATCATCGCCATCATCACCATCAGCATCAGGACGACTGGCGCCCGGCGTGCGCAGCGCTGCCCCGCCTCGTACGCCCTAAAGACGGCGTCCGTCCCGCGCACCACGGCGCCGTCCTCGCGCGGGGCATGGGGAGGGGGGG